AAGGTTAACTTGAGAGTGCAGGGAGCATAAGCCTTTATTTTACTCCCAGATTCTACTGCATGCAAATGCAGACACTCTTGCACGAAGAGGGAAAAGTCATTTTAACCTTGTTAGGCCATAGGGGAAGGAGCTGTCCTTTGTTGACATGAGAGTGAGGGGTTGAGAAGTGCATTTATTCATATCGCAGTTTTTCAGATCTATGCATGTTTGCCAGATGTTACTGATCCGGTCAATGTAGGAAGAACATTTTGCTACTGATCTCGGTGAGAAAACATCTGTTTCTGCTGTGCAGATAGGTAGTTATCTATAGTAACACTTTGGTCATGGCAGGAAAACCACAACAATGTGAATGCTGCTGCCAGGTCAGCCATGTCCTAGAACTCACTGGGAATAGAGGCCGGACCTCTTTCCAAAACATGTTGATCCTTTCACGATGCTTGGTAACAGCTAGACAGGCAAGGAGTGGGCCAACATCATTCATCATGCTGTTTCTCTGTTTTGTTGTTGATACCTCTTAGGGGTTCTGTTGTGGAAACTTGGTCATAATGAAAGGCGTGGCAGAACTCAAGTACAATTTTTGCTGGGGGGGGCCGCAGGAAGACAGTATCTATAAGCAAATCAAAAATTACCCTTTAAAGCACAGTCCTCTGTATGTCTGCTCAGGGGGAAAGTGTCTTATTCCTATGCAAATGTACACAGGATTGCAGCCTACTGCTAGGCAGAGGAACACTCTTTCTTAGGGATGGATCAATCTGTCGGATTTGGCTTCTTCTGTCCCTTTCAAGTCTTGTGTTCTGTTTGCCACATTTCCACATCAGTTTATGAACACTTTTTTTAAAACAAGCCTTCACAAAAATATATTCAACCGTCTTGGGAACATTTCTCCTACTGTATACAATTTTGCATGCGACCTTCCCCAACAATGCATCTTATTTTCACTAATCTGTACCAATTTGTACACATACTTCCCCCAATATATGAATTCTTATGTCCTTTTATGTTGGAAAACAGCATCGCAAGGTGCAGAATGGTGCAAATTCCGAAGGAAGCTGCATTTGGAATGTGAAGCAGCTGGTGATTACTGATCTAGGCTGCAATTTTACTCGAAAGTGGCCAAAATGCATTAGGTGTATAGTTATGATTTTTGTTTCCACCACTCTATATGAAAACTGCACATTCTGAAGACGTTTAAATGCAATCATCTGTGGAACAAAATTTATCTTAATTGCCTTAGACTGAATTCATAAGCGTGGTACTCATTTGACTAAAATGCAGATCGGGTAGGCATGTGACATATATCCTTTGGCAAAACGCAAGCACTACAGAGTTTCAGAAATGTTTGCCTCAAACACTATATTTTCATCAGTGTACAAAAAAGAACACCCCTATTGGGCAAATTTCTGATATTTCCCAGGCTTGCTTTTGAAATATATAGTAATTTATCTTCAGTGTTTTGAGCACAGCAGGAACATCATCTGAGGAAATGCTTAAAAATGGACATTATGCCTAGGGGCCCTACAGAATATTGGGCTCTGATATATGTCTGAGCTCCTAAAAAAAAAAAAACCTCTCCAGATTTCATTATTTGAATGCATTATACAGATTAGACAGACCTACATATTATTGCAGTTGTAAAATTGATTTAAAGTGACAGAAGCAGAAGAGGGTTGTAGAGATAGGAAATACTGAGTTATGGATAGGGCCCACACGGAGTTAAGAATTCTCTAAACCAGTCTTCCCTCAAACTAGTGCCCTTCCAGAGGTTTTGGATTACTGTACTGCTTGCATCAGCCCTCAGCTGATGGAAATTGCAGTCTAAAATTTTTGGAGGTGCACCAGCTTCGGGCAAGTTGCTGTACACAGCCACAGAAGCTTTAGTCAAATGCATTTGAATATGAGCGAAGGCAATAGTTCTAAAAACAAAGTGTATTCCTTGCTTCAGATGATACACACGTCAAGAGAACGCCTCACCTCCCGAGAGACATTTCTCCTATACTGAAGAATGGTGGCCGTCTCTCAAAATGGTGGTCGGCACCTGCCATTTTTATAGGAACGAATATGTCAGCTGATTAGATGTCACTTTGGATTATTAAAATAGGCATAACTAATTAAATCACTGAATCAAATTAAATCAACTAAGAGAGTAATCCCATGTTCACCTGGCAGGGTCTGGAAAACCTCTGGAACCACTTCACCAGCAGAGATGGAGCACTATTGGAGCGCCCCTGCTAAGATGGCAGAAAGCTCTGCTGGTGTAGATGTTCTACCAGAAGAGATGGGGAACCAGGTGTCTCAGGTGTGCGTAGATAGGGATGCCCCTTCATTACCCCAACCACTTAGAGATTTTATTATAATCAAGTGCTATATACATTTTGTTAAAGATAGATAAATGAAACTTACTTAGAGAATCAGCCTAACTTCATGCCAGCCCTGGAGCTGGTATAATAAATTTACAGTGAAAAATGTAGGAGGTGTGGGCTTTTATCCTAGTCACAGTGAAACAGGAGGGCACAGGGTGTGGTCACTGCTCTGCCACGTAATCTCTCCTCTCCCTGTCCAGGTCAGGTGGTTTACAACACATGCAAAAGCTTGAGTTATAGAGAACCTCTTAAAACCACTGGGTAGGGTAATGAGACCTTTCTTGAGCAACAAGTCTTTACCTCACTTACATGGAAGCAAGCTCTACTGGAACCCATGGAGAAAATTGACTCAAACAGAGTCCCTTAAACACCTTAATCCTAACAATATATGCTTTATGAACTCTTAGGGCAGAAAGCTGGCAAAGAATCCGTGTTCTGACAGATCTGATACTCTTTTTTGCTCCTCCTTTAAAGAAGTGATTTCAGTTTCAGCCAGAGGCTGTCACAGAAATGACAAGAGGATAACCGAGCACAGCAGCTGGCTAAAATTAGAACCCAGTTTGCTGTCTAACACATGTGGAGGAAGGAAATATCAAATGATGTGATGTTATTCCCATGATGTGCCATGTATTTTTCAGCTAGTCAAGAAACAGCGGGTTCTATGCTGACCTTCTAGCCAATAGATTCAGAGAAAGAATGAACCAGGAAAGTCTAAGACCTGTCTTATAGATCAATGTGACATCAGATGGAATCCAGGTTGCATGCAACTTGCTTAGTGAATTTTTAAATTTGTTTAGAGAATTTTTCTTTTTAAAAAAACCTAAATGAAATACAAACACAAAAGGAGTCTTCTAAGCAGCAGCTTCAGTCTCTACTCGGAGTTTGGAAAGTGTTCTGAGACATACTGAACTTATTTGGAAAAGGATGAACCAGGAAACTATGGTTACCAGTTCTTGAATTAGCCTTCATCTTTAAGCAACTTCAAATTGTGGCTTGCTCCAAACCTAGGTACCATAAGTTTCCCGGCTTGGATTCTTAGGAGATTGTGGTCAGTTTAAGATTTCTTAGTTTAAATCACAGCACAAGGGAAAGAGAATGGGCTGCATGCAAGGACAAAAGCCTCATTCATGCTGAATCCACGCATCTCCCTGACCTAAATCTGATGTTTTATCCACAGAACAAAACAGCTTTTTGGGTTCTTCGGTATCCGTATGTGGATCAAATCTCAACTACTGTACAGAAGAAAAAAAATGAGACTTTCTTGTGCTTCTGTAAGAGTCACCCTGTAGTAAAACAGATTGTTTCTTGTATTGAACTTTCAGGTATACAGTACATAGATGGTTTCTTGCATTGAGCTTTCATATATATAACAATCTTCTGTTTGTGTTTAAATAATTGGTTGTTGTGTTTAGTGTGGGGGCCTATTAGCCCTAAACCTAGATAAAGAACAAGACAGGTTTAGCTGCAGAAGACTGGTAGATCTTGGTTCTCATTTAACAAGATATAGAAGCTTAAAAGATGAGCAGAGGTCTCCTACCTAAAGTATTTCTGCTCCATAATAAAAAATGGGCATGTAGCACCACCTTCTGGCTGCTTGTTCAAAAACACAGAGCAAATAATTAAGGACTGAAAAAGAAAACAGCCAAAGGTTGTGGTGTACTTAACCTTTGTTCCAAACAGGACTGCTGATCATAGTCAACAAGAGAGTGTTTGTTTTCTTACACATATCTCAAGCTGTTAAAAAAATTGTTGTAATGGGCAGCTGCTCAGGAGTCTCAAACAGCCTTCCCCAACCTCTTTCTGTCCAGATGTTTTGGACTACTTCCATCACCCCTCTCAATTTGTGCTAACTGCTGGACCTGGTGGCAGTTGTAGTCCAAACATCTGGAGGGCACCACGTTGGAGAAGTCTGATCTAAGACAAAATATTGCTGGTAAAGAAAAAAAGAGTACACCATTTCCCAATATTATATTCTAATGTATGTAAAGGCCAACATTATTTTGGGGATCATTTTGTACAACAAGGCTTATCATGCCATCTTCCTATCATTAGCAGCAAAGAATTTCTATGTATGAGAATATATAAAATTAATGCGTATCGTTCTTGAATACTATAAGTTTAGAACAGTTTCTTATTAACAACTCTTCCCAATAAGCTCAAGGTATATTCCTATCAGGGGCTTCTTCTGCATCTCACTAGAGAAGAAAACATCTGCCCTGCTTAGCCTGTGTTGCCTTTTCAAGTCATGCTGCAGGCAAACCTTCTGGGGGAATCTTACAGCAGAAGAGAGTTTCACAAAAAGGACAGGCATGGATCATGCTTATAAGGCAAACTAGAACCTGCATTAAAAAGAAAATTTTCAACCTTTTCCTCGCAAGCAGAAAGCTGTTTCAAGAAGCCAGTTCTATGCACATCCAGCTAAATCTCTAACAAAGAAGAAATAACTTTTCTCTCAAGGGGCATTCCCGTGGCAACAGAATGTTAACCTGTTTCTTACATTCTCACCTGCTCTTTACCTTTCCCAATGAGCAGACCAATCCATCCTGCCAAAGGCAGCCATCTTCCTCAACAGCATGTGTTGACAATTCTGTAGTACTAGGAACGTATCAGTACTATTTGGGTTCACCTTATCACTGTAGATCAGGGGTCGGGGCACTGACAATAGAATCGTATTGTTTCTTGTTCAAACTGTGAATGCCCCCCACCCTCTTCCAGAGTTCCACCTGGCTGACAAATTCCTAGCAGGACGCAAAACCAAAAAAAAAAAAGGGTCCTCACTGATGGGCCAGCAGAACTGCCCAAACCTGTTGCCTGAGCAACACCACAGGACTGGATCAGCTGTTGGCCAAGAGGTGCAGAGCCATTGCTCAGGTGACAAGTTACCCTCACAACAGGTGCCCAATTGCCCTGCAAGACAGAGGAAGAGAGCACTTCCTGCCATGAGGTGTTTAAAGTACAGCAGCGGGTAGCCAAGGATTCGTGCCTGACAGCACTTGAAGCCATGGAACAGTTAGGCTGAAAAAGAGGCATAGGACAATATAAAACTCTGCACTTCTGGAGCTCAAGCTGCAGGAAGGGTGGTGAGAGTCGTGACCCTGTATGGGAGCAGAGTACACACTTCCACAAGGGCTTCACAAAGTGGCCACATGTAAACAGCCCCGGCATGGACAGCTCCCCTGCAGGAACAGCAGGGACAGAGACAAGTGGTCAGCAGCTGTGCATGAGAAACGTCAGTCTTGCAACTTAAATCTGGACTAAACTAGAGAGATGGTGACCCAAATTCAACCACTGGCTAGAGGGATATTCCACTAGTCAAGGGCAAGAATAACTGTTGGAAGGGATTTCATATTGCACAACAGATGTGCTAGCAGTAGCTGGTTGTGTAATCAGTCGTGCAACAATAAATATAGGAGCTACAGTCATCCGTTGCACAACCAGCCACAGGAAGCATGGTAGCTTCCTGCCTTCTGTTGCACAAGCCATTCCGTGAGTACAACTAGTACACCGCTTAGGGAATTTAACCTACCGTAGTGCGGCACTGAATTCCTCCCAGTATTTTCAAACTATGAGCTAGCTGGAAGTGAAGAAAGCCTCTCTGGGAATCTGACACCTTGTGCAGGAGTACTTGCATACTTCCACATTTCTCTGCCTCTACAGTTGCAGATGCAAAGCATCACAGGGGCAACACAAGACTCCAGTACTTTCTTATCCAAGAGGAAGCTAAACCTGACAGTGAACATCACACTATTGCACACAGCAGGGGCAGTGCAGTTTCAAAAGTACACCTTCTCTATTTTGATCAATAGTAGCTTGTTAGAGAAAAGTGTCTGGAATGGCCAAGTTGGGAATGATCACTGTAATTAGCTTGATTGTAAAAGATGAGCATGTATTGTTCTTCACTGCAGGAAATGACTAGCCAAGAAAAAGGTTAATGGAGAAGTCTTCACGCGCATACACTATAAAAGCAATGCTTTTAAAAACCTTAAAAGCAGTAATGTCTCACTTAAAGTTTCCATTTTGATGATGAAATTGCATCTCTCTCAACAGAGACATGCTACGCTACACTAGTTATTATTAACAAAACAACTCTATCCCAATTGAAAAACAACAACAGTATCAATATTAGAACAATTTTTACCTTTACATTCAAATTTTTTTTAACTGCAATGTTGGGTAGGTGACAAGTACTAGATTCAGCATCCAATGCCAGTTTGCCATTAGTTTTAAAATGCAATGAATATGCTTGTTATAAAAACAAAACACTGACCAGTAAGATATCCATTTGAGCTACCTTTATGAACCAATACAGATTTCAAAAAGGTGAGAGATTCTACTGTTCTTGATCCTCTGAAGCTAGGATTTCCAGTCAGGATACAATCATTAGCACCAACAGCAAGATTTCAGTCCTCCATACAGGGGCAAATGGCAAAAGAAAAAGTTTGAAATGTCTGGGGGGTTTTAAATAGCTTCTTAAGATGTTAGCATTTGGTACAACAGTTTCATATAATTTATATTTTGGCTGCCATGTAAAAGGAGACATAGCCAAAGTCACAATAAATCAAAAACAATTTTAGTCATTTGCTTTCCCCCCCCCCCAGGTCCATTATTTTTTAAAAAATTAAAACTGATTTTAAAAGGCTTTTGGTTTTCAACCCAGCGGGAATAGTTGGATGAAAAATATTGAACTTGAAAGGGGGGCGGGGTTCAAGAATATTTCTTTCGTAGTAGCGTTATGGAATCAAAGTTGAAGGCAGACATTGAACACTGTGCCTTTAGAAAGATAAAATGGTTTTGTGGATAATTTCAATGCATTCTCTGATCTCATCCTCCTTGATCACCAGCGGGGGAGCCAGTCGGATGATATCACCATGTGTTGGTTTGGCCAGCAGTCCATTGTCACGGAGTCGCAGACACACTTTCCAGGCATCGTAGTCTTTAAAAGAAATCCAAAATACAGAATCAAATATTTGCTTTACAACCAACTGAAGTAAGCATTACAAGGAGCTCAAGGTGGCAGAGGTGTTTCTCCTCCTTCCCATTTCCTCATCACAACAATTCTGTGAGGTAGGTTAGGCTGACAGATGGCAACCGGTCCATGGTCACCCAGTTTGCTTTTATGACCAAGTGGGGATTTAAACCCCGATCTTCAAGGTCCTAGTCCAACACTCTAAGCCACACTACATGAAGGAGATAGGTTGTGGTTTCATTTCCAGACAGGAAAGAAATTTGTTCAAAGTCTGTTTAGAAATGGCAGCTTGGACAAATATTTCAGCTTTGGCCACAAGAGACCAGGTGTGCTCCCACTTTTTAGACAGTACATAAACTTGATTGAACTTGCAATCTTTTTTCAGGAAAAAGCATGTCAAGCAGTCTGGGCTACTACCTATTTACCCCAGTCTGGAGGACTTCAGACTTTTAGAACTTTCTGTTACGATTGAAACTGACATGGTTTGTCTAAACCCTATTCCTAGAGCATCCTCAGTTTCAGGTATTTGGGGTCAAAGTTCCCTATTCTCCTTTTGTGTGTTTTTTCAAATACTGCCTTTTTTATTCAAAAAAGTGAAAAAGGAGAACAGGATATATACCCCCAAGATATATACCTTTACTCAAACAGCAGCAGCACCTAATTGATTCTGAATGGATACGTTATTATGCTATTGCCTCCAAACTGGAACCTGCACAATTCTCTTGCAAAAGTGAAAATGGCCTTGAATCATGCTGAAGTCTTGTTAACACAGTGTAAAAACAGCCTTACCTTTTGTTTCACGAATAACAATAGCATTTAATAATCCTTTTCCTCTGACACAAGCCACAATATCTGACGGAGTCTTCATAAGCTCATTCCTCAATAAGTTGCCCATGATTTCTGAATTCTTAACTAACTTTTCTTCTTCAATTACCTAAAGCAGTTTGAAACAAAGGTAAGAAAACTGAATGATGGAGGGAGAATCATAAATACGTAAACATAAGGTTCAGTTTGTCTCTCATCACAAGACCACTACTAACCATAATTATAATTTATAATTACTTATAATTATATTTACTAACCATACACAGTTAACCATAAAATTACAAGTCATAACATGGTACAGATGTAAAAAAGAAGTCTTCAATTATGAAGACGTGAACAAACATACGACACAAAGCAGATACACGGATATTTGGTTACTTTTATTATTAGACAAGTTGAGGGAAATGACTGTTAACATGCAGTTTTCGAGTTATTTAAATACTGCACAGTGTTAGTATAGTCGTGCATAGCATTCATAGACCATAAACTGATATTTACGTACCTCGAGTGCTGCTATGGCCACCCGGCAAGCCAATGGGTTCCCTCCATATGTAGAACCATGTTCTCCAGGTTTAATGGAGAGCATGATTTCATCATCACATAGTACCGCTGAAACCTAAGAACATAAATTCTGCACTGAGACAACATTTACCAAAAACTTAAGAACATTTTTCCTTTGTCCTGCTTCACAACACCGCAGAGGTTCCACTAAATTACATGTCTGTAATGTTTTGGCATCATTATGCATTTAAGACTGTAATTCTGAAAGTTGGGGCTGTGTTGGTTTGTTGCTTTGTTTTTATTGATATGTAAAGCAGCTCAGGGAGTGTTTACAGCTAAAGAGTGGGGCAAAAATGCTTTAAACAAACAAACAAGCAAATCACTTTGCTGCCTCCCCCCTACGGTTACCGCTGCTGCACAGAGTCTAAGGCAATATTCCTATTTATTTCCCATTGCTTTATAAAGTATGCATTCCTCAGTAAATGCTTTGCAGAATGAACTGCAGGTAGGTACAATTGCCTGTTTACTGTGCTCAGCATTTATTTACCATTTTTAAACTTCTGACTCAGCTCAAAAAGAGTTGCAAAATGCTGGATGTGGTACTCAGGCTACTCAGCAGGAAAAGAAATTCTCCGTTTCAAAGCTGTTTTCACCAGACAGTCATGTAAGTGGTCTAGAGAACTTAAATGGCCTGATCCTAAAGACATTTTACTGGATGTGAGAGCCACCGATCTGAACAGACCTTTTTTCCAAATATATACTTAAGATTCCAAACTAAGCAATACTTGTTCAAAAGCAAGAGAGTTGTTAAACTACCCAAATGTACAGCTAGTTTCATAATACCATATCACACTTCAAAATGCTTGCTTTGTGCCTAGTTCCCCCGGACTTAGTTAGAAATGTGGAGCAATGTGATGGAGAAATTTCCCTTCCTGAATATGATTGTTGTTCTTGCCCAGCTAAAGGTATTAACAATGGAGCAATTTCAAGTATTAGAGTACAGTACAGTGGACGCTCGGGTTGCAAACGTGATCCGTGTGGGAAGCACGTTCACAACCCGCAGCATTCGCAACCCGCAGCGCCACATGTGCGCACGCACGGGCCACTATTTGGTGTTTCTGCGCATGCGCAAAGCGCGAGTTAGCGCTTCTGCGCATGCGCAAGCACCGAAAACCGGAAGTAACCAGTTCCAGTGCTTCCGGGTTTGGCGCGGTGCACAACCCGAAGCGTCTGTAACCCGAGGTGTGACTGTACCTCAGCTCAGTACTTCTAGCCTGTTACAGGTCTGACCTTGGAAATTCAGAGCTGCAGGACCACATCTGAATTGGTCAGCATGCAATCTGCATTACACCAGCAGGTTCGGTTCAGTCCCTGGCATCTCCAGAAGGGACTAGGAGAAAACCCCTTCCGAAACCCTGGATGGTCACTGCCATTCAATGTAGTCAGTACTGAGCTAGATGGATCAATAGTCTAACAAGGAAGCTTCCTATGTCCCCATTTGCTGAACACTGTCATATTGTAAGAACATGAATCCTGGAAGATAGTCCTAACTGACTCCACTTCATCAATGACCCTTTCATTAAGCCAGTTTTGTATCTTAAACCTGTTGAAATCTCCAAAAAGCAGTTCAGAACCAGCTGTTTCTCATTCAGTATTACTTACGGGATAAACACCTCCAGACAGGGCCTTTCCGAGCAGGATCATATCTGGTCTAACATTTTCATGATCGACAGCCAGCATTTTCCCAGTCCTTGCCAACCCAGTTTGAATTTCATCAGCGATAAAGAGAACCTGTTTTATTTTAAAAGGAGCACATATTCAAGAAGTATTTCCTTGACAAAGAAAGTTCACCCCAAACATCCCTAGCAACTCTCGTCCAAACTACAGAAACTGGTATAATTAAACAACTAGCTGCAATGTTTAACCTCTGCTCAGCATACTGCTATATCACACCACATCTAGATCGCATAACTTTAAAAATTCTAGGCTACATTTGTGCCCACAAGATTCTTTATGGTAGTACGATTTCACAAGCCAAGAATGCTTAACAGCATTTCACTTAACAGCCCCTTTAGAACTTTTCATATGAGAGGCCTGAATATCACTTGCATAGCATTATCAGAGTCTCATCATGCACTGGAAAGCATAAAAGAAAATAGCTTCAATCCATAAAGCCCCTTTAGACCTGCATAGAGAGGGACTTGATGAATTGCCATTCAATGAGCATTTAGTTTGTTTTGTTCTCCTTTAAAAGAGAAGATTCTCCAAAGCCAAACTCCAAATGAAGATCTTGCAATATGGCCTAATCTACATTTACTCTGTCTGATCTATTATGTGGTAAAGTCCAAATGATGTATATGTTTGGAAGCAGGAAGGTCATTATAATCATTCCACAGGGTGAAATTTGCCACTGCTGTACCCCAAGATAAACCAAACTGTTCTATGGAAACAGCCCTATCAGACTGAAAAGCAAAGACAATTTATGAGTTGCCCAGGAGTGGGATAAAGTCCATTTAAAAGGTACACAAAGTATATTACAATAACCTTGTCGTCTACTTAAGATAGACACAGAACTGATAAGATAGTAGAGTTGAGCAACAGCTCACTTTGGGGAAAAGTGTTTTACCAGGTCAAAACCGACATCATTGGTGAGAAAAACACTGATTTCTTTATAATGATAAAAAAAAGCTATACCACTTACTACTGGACCTTTGGAAGATTCAACTAACTAAATATTAGATTGTGTTAACCAGCAGTGTAAAAAAAATGTTTTTTGAAACATATAACAGCATTATACGATTGTTATCTTTGGTCTAAACAAGGCCTGTTGTATTAGTTAAAAGACATGGCCACTTTCCACAGCTTGAATGTTGTGTTCTTAGCACAGTGACTTACTTACATTATGCTTTGTGCAAAGCTCTCGCACACCTGTGAGGTAACCTTTATCAGGAACAACGACACCAGCTTCCCCTTGAATTGGTTCCACCATGAAAGCTGCTACATTTGGATCTTGAAGTGCACGCTAAGGACAAGTATATTGCAATGAAGAAAGACAGTTACTGAATGCCGTTATGGAGAGATGCAGAACAAGATTTATAACATTCCTTCTCCTAACTTCTGAGTAAGTCTTCACAGAATGGAAGATTGCAACACACCTCAAGAGCTGGCAAGTCATTGTATGGAATTATTTCAAACCCTGGCATAAATGGTCCAAACCCATCATAACTGGAAGGATCTGTAGAACTTGAGACAGCAGACATCGTTCTTCCCCAGAAGTTGCCAGCTGGGAGGAGGGGTGGGGGGAAAGAATGAACAAAATATATAATGTTCAGTTACGTTATGCAGCCTAGTCAACTCAACAATCCGAAGATGTCGAAAGATACCACATCTTTCTAAAAAGTAGAGATGCTAAAGATGTATCACAGTTGTGTTTAGATCAAGGATGGGTAACCTGCGGTCCTCTAGATGTTGCTGAACTACAACTCCCATCATCCCACCCAAGATGGCACAGGTATTAAAACCTCCTTGCCCAACTCTGGATTTTAAACAGCATTTAATGTTATGGGAATTGATTCTGTTGAAAATGAATAGCAAAATACAGATCGTTTAATCATTGTTCACCTTGTATGTTTGCCATGTATGCAAGTGCCAAAGAGTTGCAACTTCCCAAAGTTATAACAAAACAGAGTCTTTTACCCAACATGCTTGTCCAGGATGAATGGTTACAGCATGCTGTCTTAACAGAGCCCAGAACACCGACTGCATGAGATTTCAGTTGACCAATACATTTCACAAGCCTAAGCACACTGCCTCAACAGCAAGTCCCTCCAAACTGAACAGGATTTGTTCCCTAATAAGTGTTGTTTATGACCGTAGCCCTAATTTGTCAGCACCGTATTCCCACCCCACTTTCACCCATGAAAAGAAAGATTAATCTCTTCTCACTTAGGTTTCAGTTCTTTATGGCACCAGAGACAATATAGGATTTGATAAATCGGAAGGTGATGAGGGCACAACTTTGCACATTATTTTAACTTAGTAAAGTGATGAATTCATTACAAGCAACAAACCATTTAACAGGGGTGGGAACTTCAGGTCCAGAAACCAAAAGTGGCTTCTCTGGTCTTTCCACCCAACTCTTGGGACTTTCCCAGAACACATTTTCTCTTCCCTGACCATGCCCATCAATGGCCCTTTTCCTCTCTCATCAAGTGCAGCTGCCACTGAAATGTAGCTTACTTTACACAGGTAAGTCACATCCCTTCCTTTGTTCACTTTTTGCCTCTGGCCCCATCCATTGCAAGCATGTGGCTTGGGAAGGAATGCAGCCCTGAGGCTGCAAAAGATTCCCTACTACTTTATAACAGGTTTAAGTAAAAGACACAGAAACTCCATTTTTAATACAAAGGTATTCCTACAGCATGTTGTTTTAAAAACATGCATGATTTAATAATCCAAAGTCTCCAGTACCTTTGTTATGCCCACCTACAACAAGTTCTTGTGATATTTAAAACTCTGACGTACCTGCGAAAAGTATCTTTGCCTTGTATTTGGGAATTCCTTTCACTGTATATGCCCACTTGCGAGCCAGTTTACATGCTGTTTCTCCAGCCTCCACTCCTAAAATAAGAGAGCACAAAAGGTGGAACCAGGAGAGGGGTAGGAAGAGAAGGAGAACTCATTACTATCAGAAGCCACATGGTGGACTATTGCGGAAGTATGCCATGCAGAGTAGGCAGGGTAAGAGCCTAGGGCCCTGGAAGTGTGGGAAGGGACAGATAAAAGCAGTGTGATGTTATCAAGAAGCTGAGTTCTGCTGCAACTCTGCACATGCCTTGGAACCACGCTTATACTTTGGCAGTGTCATTGCAAAGTAAGAGAGAAAGAAACATTGACTTAAGCTAAACGACCTCCTATAGCAGCAGCAAGAGCATGGCCCCACAGCAGCCTTCCCGCCCCCCCCCCCCGGCCCCCTGTACTTGCTCAAAATTCTGAATACATCCTGGAGCTGAAAAAGGTTGGAGACACAGCACTTTGTGTGCAACAGATTTCCAAACACACAGGAAGCAAGCCCAAATTTCAGGGATCCACAACTGTTCTCTCTGGCTTCCCACTTAAGTGACAGAAGCTGTCCGTTCATACGCTTTTTTGGAGAACAGAACAGAAAGCATTACCTGTGTTCATTGGAAGCACTTTGTTGTATTTGAACATTTTTGTGATATACTCTTCATATTCGCCAAGTACATCATTGTAAAACGCTCTTGAGGTAAGGGTAAGTTTGTCACACTGGGCTTTCAGAGCAGCTACAATCTTTGGGTGACAATGGCCTTGATTGACAGCACTGTAAGCACTTAAGAAATCGAAGTATTTTCTGCCTTCTACATCCCACACATAAACACCTAGGGGGTAGACAAGCAGAGGTACAATATTAGGAGAATATTAACAATTGATATATCACACACACACAAACCTCTGGTGACATATAAAACAAAAAAATAATGTTGATCATTTATTGTTTTTAGAATTGAGGCATAGGGTGAATAATGCAACTGATTAAGTCATTCAACTGCTAAAAAACATCGTATAATATTTGGCTAAATAAAAAAGCAGCACTTCAGTATAGATATACTACATAAACGGAATGGCTGCTTTAGCAAAACTGAACAGGAATGACACAGAGTACAGAATTCACATTTCTCAACTTCCTATACGTACTTTTTGGCACAGTTACCTATGCATTTTCTGTGACTGTAAGATAACTGGCTAAGCTATTTTGTGTCAAGCGCTGTAGTAATACTGAGAAAAGATTGACACTTGAAAATACAAATTATCTGTGCAATGCTGGGGTGGGGATAAACTTCATTCTCTTCCCTTGAAAATGGGCTGTCTGGTGCTGCATTTTCCCCAAGGTAGTCCTGCTAGCACAAGCCAGAGGTTACATTTTTGGCACAGCCTAGGGCAATCTGCTCATGCTGACTTTAGCTATGAAAGACTTGTAGCCATTTCACATAGATATCAAATGTGTCTACCAGGCACAGCGTCATAAAAACAGGAATGAATAGCTAGCTTCCAAAATGACCATCATTCGGGTGACACTGACTTTTCACCCACACTGTTCAACATGCACCTTCTAAGGTAGATCAGGTAATATGCATCTGAGCACAAAATCTCTTTGTAGGCCAACAGTATAAAACTATGGAAAGGCTGTTTTATTTTCAAACTTCCTAGGTGAGAGCAAGACTCCATGCCTGCACCCATCTGCCACAAGTGCTATGCCAAGGCAGGCTGCCAGATGCCAAGACAATAAAACTGCCTGTTTGTCCTCATGGAAGCATGAGGTATACTTTGTACTTTGCTACACTTATCCAGCTACCAAACACATGTTCGGGAAGATAATACTAACCTAAGAAGCTGCTAATTTGCAAATGCAAACCAGTAAAAGTGTTGACCTGAACACAGTTTCCAGACGCTTGTTTTACTACAAGCTTTAATCTTACATTATGAGGTTACATAGTAGCAAGGAAACAGACTTTGAGACCATTTGCGCTTCTAATTAGGCTAAATAGGCATTCCCTTGATTTGATGAAGCTTGTCAAAAGTGATAAAAGTTCAGCAACCTTGTAGATCAGGTGGTAAGTATGCTAAACAGTTGGTGCCCTAAGGTCAGGATAGTCTAGTGATATATGCACTGGGGAGACGCCACCAATAAAGAATGCTAACAGAGCGCTACCAAAGCTAGATGTTAGAATTATTTAGATTAGGGGTGTGGAAGCTGCGGTCAGTGGGCCAGATGTGGTTCTCCAGGCCTCCCCACTTGGCCTGCTAGGCCATTTCACCCCAAGCCATTCTCAGCTGCCTCACACCTGCCCCATCAGTGTGGCTGGGGCAGGTAAGGACAAGCTGTTTTAGGTGGACAAGTGAGCTTCCTGTAGAGAACCAGTAGGCACAGCTGATCCCTGCAGAAAGCAGGTTCGAACTCACCTCCCATCCACTGAGTTCAAGCCTACTTTTCAGAGGCTTCCAAGCACTGAACAGGGCTCTCTGCAAGGCGTGTATGATGCTTTGAAGTCACTATCTCCCTCTATCCCAGCAGACCACATTTGACAGATGGGCTGGGCCACCACTACCCCCTATTAATCACCTGACGTCATTAGAGGGAGAGAAAGACCTTGGCCACCAGATCCCTGGTTTACATTAAGGCAGGTTTTAAAATTTCAAATGCTAACCATTGCGCCCAGAACTGAAGGCAACATAAACCAAAGAACTGCAGAAAATAAAGGCAATATAAAAGAGCAGTAAGTTTTTATAACAATACACACCACACTGAATGCATTATGATCTGCTTTTTTTATATACAACTAAATGGAAATGTGGTGAATACTTAAAAGAAATATAACAACCAGATAAATTTCCAAGTAGGGCTAGATATATGAGCAGCAGCTAAAAATAACTAGAAGAGGGGTGGTAACTAAGGAGAAGCAGCACAGCAAGGCTTAAACAAGAACCCATGGAGGGATGTGTGGGGAAGTCAAAGAATAAATGCTAAGTGATAACTGTATAATGTATGTATAAAATTATATATATATATATATATATATATATATATATGAATGAAATGTGGCATTTTTATGCTCAGAACTCTCAAGCATTCTAGGATTTAAAGCAGGTCAGGGAACCTGCCGTTCTCCAGACATTACTGGACACCAACTCCCAGCATCCCTAGACAGTATGGCCAAGAGTCAGACATGATTCCCTGCCCCTAGTTTAAAGGCAATTATGCCACCTCTCCTGAGTTGGTCTCAAATGCCAAGACGCGCTCAGTGAGCCAGAAATAGAGGAGCAGGCACAGATTAATTCAGCCAGTGACAGCTGCAGCCTGCTTCTCACAAATCTTTGCAAAATACTTACCCTATGCATCATCAGAGAACGAAAAACCAGCAAACCATGGACACAGGCTATGCCTGCTGCTGCCTATCTTTTGAATTCAACATGCTTCTGTCCTGTTCAGACGACTAGGATAGTTCTCACATCTGCATATTGCACAATGCTGGCTAAGAGGAAGTTACTTTTAACTTAATCACCAAACCACCATAGGACAGCTGTGGAACTAGACTATACAAATGACTGCCCCTACATTAAATACAAAGGGGAAAGTACCCCTGACCATTAGGTCCAGTTGTGGAAGACTCTGGGGTTGCACGCTCATCTCGCTCTATAGGCCGAGGGAGCCGGCGTTTGTCCACAGACAGCTTCTGGGTCATGTGGCCAGCATGACTAGGCCGCTTCTGGCGAACCAGAGCAGTGCACAGAAACGCCATTTACCTTCCTGCCGGAGTGGTACCTATTTATCTACTTGCACTTTGACGTGCTTTTGAACTGCTAGGTAGGCTGGAGCTGGGACCGAACAACAGGAGCTCACCCCATTGCGGGGATTCGAACTGCTGACCTTCCGATCGGCAAGCCCTAGGCTCTGTGGTTTAGACCACAGCGCCACCCACGTCCCTTCTTATATTAAGAACCATTATATGCCTCCCCACACCCTGCCAAATGCCAACTTCCTCTCTCTCCTTTGAATCTTCTTGAAACTTTTTAGGAGAGGCAGACCCATGATCCCATAAGACAAGGGGGTGGGGGAGAAACTATCTTCCCCAGGAAGATAGTAGTAACAGTGTTTTCTTTCTTCTGAGTTAACACAGTCAGGAAAACAGCTGAGATTGCACATGCACAGCAGCCAGAGCATCCCACATTTCCGTTCCCAAAGAAGCATCATTGTTGCAGTGATGATACAAATGATCCTTGCCACTGGAAAGCATTAAAGTGAATGGCTGAGTTAAGCTTCCATCCCTTGCCTAGGAACCTATTGGAAAGATTAAAAGTACATACCTTTTCCTTTTTCAAGAGCAACAGGGAGCGGGTGGTAGTTATGTGCACCATACTTGGCCTCACGCTCAAATATGTAGTCAGATGATGGCGGGCCTTGGACTGTTTTCTTAGTTGCAACTGACGTAGCTGAACTCACTGAAGCATGAACGCCTCGACAGAGAACGCCGAACGACTGCCGATGGGCCAGTTTAGAAAACATGGTTACAGTGTGCTGAAGGTCTGAAAAAAGAAAAAATGGCACATAGGGAATTGGGTTAGAAACATGAAACTCAAGGGGGTGTCCGCTTCAACACCACAACTGCAAACGAAACCTATACAAATAGTTCTGATTACATGCAGGATTTTGAGCGGGCCTTCTTACATAGACAAAGCATTTCAACACAGAAACCTAGATCCTAGTGCACTATTACAAATTCTCCACAGAACAGCTGATATGATCTTCATGAGGTAGACACAGACTTTGCACAGCTAAGCTAGAAAACATGGGACAATACGGTAGACCCAAACCCAAGTCTCCAACCCAAGAGTCTATCTTATATGCAACACACAACGAAACATACTCTTGCTAAGGTACACGCCTTCCCCATTAGGCGTGAGTTCACGCCAAGATGAGTCATGGAAAGCTGCATCACACTAAGCCTGTCAGTTAAAAACTTTAGTATGCTTAAGTTACCCTTGGATACCTCACAGTCAACATCTAGATTTGTGCTCAGCTTATAGCAAGGGTGGGGAGCCTTTCTCAGTCCATTCCTTCATGCCAGTGGTGCGCAGGGCCAGAGGCAAAAGTGGGAGGAGCAACAGGTGTCGACCACACAAGAGTTGGAGGCTTATATCAATACGCATACACCAACCTACATTATATTGCAGTTCAAGAACATATTCCAGGCAAGCAACACTCAAAGAGGGTGCAGAGAAGGGCCCGGGAGGTATGTAGCTTGTGGAGAGTCCTGAGAGCTGGACAGAGAGGTCTCAAGCTCCTAGAACTGAGGTTCCCTACAGCTTGAAGACCAGTATTGCCAGTTCTCATCACTATGTTCCAAGCTCTGAGCCATGAAAGAACTATCGCATAGGCCCTGCATCTTGAAAACCAACATGTAAGATGCTGTGCTAGAGGATTTTCTATAGCATTTTCAATTATCACATGTTTTTCACTGTTGGTCACTTAGCAGCAGATAAAAAGCCATGAGAACTTAACAAAAAAATAATAATCCCAAGTGCCTAGTTGCTTTGATTCTTAAAGTCCTGATGCAGGGATTAGAAATATTTTTCCAGGCTGCTGAACTCTACTGCAAATATTCCCCTGTGGAGCTTTTAAAGAACAATTAATCTGAGTTACAATACAACCCTTGTCACCAGAGCATTGCAACACTGACAGCAGACAGACTAATCTTCAATATAAATAAGACCTACTATTACCTTTCAGTATCATTCGGTTCATAAGACCAAAGGGGATTGTTGTTGTGGTTTGTAAAAAATGGTTTATGCAAGCGTTTGAAGAACTAAGCAAAACCATACACATACAGTCCTCTGCTCAATCATCACTAGATGGTTCATTTAAAAGACAGGTAATCCTATGCCATTGTGTGTGTGCTGATTAATAACTGCTTGTCATATTAAACATGAAACAGAATATATTGGCCAAGGAAAAGAAAAGCTCAAAAAATAATCTTAACTCTTCCCCCATCCTAAAAAAACGTGACTTTACCAGATGCTTATACTCAATTGTTATAAGCTGTTTAAGCAGCATCCCTCACAGTGGAGCGGGAAAGTAAAACACATTTCTAGGAGTACAGCCTACAAAAGCTTGATTCTTTAATGTACTTGCATGGGAATAAGGCCCACTGAACACTGAAAGACTTGTTTCCAAGCAAACATATATAGAACTGCACTGTTAGTATCCTACCATTCCAGCATACAAAGATGACACATAGCTTTGCTCATTCATAGAATCATAAGAGTTGGAAGGGATCCAAGGGTCATCTAGTCCAACCCCCTGCAATGCAAGAGTTTCAGCTAAAGCATCCTTGACAGATGACCATGTTGTACAGGATGAGTCAATAGTTACCTCTGTTGATATTGACAAAACATGTTAATGGAGTTAGAAATTTCACCCCCCAAAATAGCAAGTATTGCACTACATAAGATTTGGATAGGACCCAGATTTAAAATTGCATCACTGAAAGCTTGCATCAGGATGAACTTCTCAATGATAGGACTATACAGGCCTGGCCCACTACACACCCCTCACAGGGGAAAAAAGCTAGCTTGCTTAATAAGCACATACAAGAAATAAATGCTGGTCTTAGGAAGAGGCAAATTTATGGTTTATTAAAATACTATGAATCTAACTGTAACTGCTGTGATACTTACTGTCACCTCCTAACCTTGGCAAGTGTGACGAGTTGCCTTTGAAACCCTTCTCATAAGGCAACAGCACACAAAAGATGAGCAAGTAATCCGTTTTGAGAATACTCAGATTTTATATTTTCTGTTCGTATATACATTTTTACTTGTACTGTAATGAATTTGGAAGAATGTTCTGAATCTGCTGGTTATAAAGGCATTTTGAATGAGAAGTAAATCCACCCAAACTGGTGCTTTCTCAGGTCCATTTTCCTATTTAATCCTTTTAGCTTTACAGCCTAGTTACCAAATTCATCTCACTGCCAAATATTTACAGACACATCACTACTTGCAAATAGTGGAAACAAGGATAGTGATGCACATGGGTAAAGTGCAAGAAAGCAAGGTTTTCAGGTACCCAAAAATTGGGGGGGGAGAGGCGCATCTTAGCAAGGAAAGGACATCTGCCCAGTGGAGCTGAGAATAGTCAGACTAGAAACATACAATATTTCTTCAGAGAGCTAGCATCAGTAAACAAGAGACACTTGCTTGAGGCATATATACTCATCCCACTTTTGCCTTCTGAAACAGGTTTTGCATGCTTCATGTTGGTTTAAAAACCCACAGAAGCCTGTTTGACAAAACAGTAGTAGGACAAAAAAAAGCGTGTTTATGAGAGAAATGGAGAATCTGCAGTCCTCCAGATGTTGCTGGACTACAACTCCAATTATCCCTTAGCATTGACTGTGCTGGCTGCAGTTGGTGGCAGTTGACAGTCTGGCAACATCTGGAAAGCCCAATGTTCCCCATATTGGGTTTATTACATGGGTAGTAATGGTAGGAAGAACAAAACAGGCACTCTGCACAGTTTTGATTGCCACACCTCAAAAGGAACCTTGCGGAGTTGGAAAAGATGTGTCTCTTTAAAAGCAGTTTAAACCAAATCATGGAGGGTAAGATTAACAATGATAGCTGTGTATACTACTTCTGGTGTTGGATGCATTATGCCTCTGAATACCAGTTGCTGGACAGCACGAGTGGTGCTAGTATGCTCACACCCTGCTTGACAACATCCCATGCACGTCTAGTTGGTCTTTGTGAGAGAAGTATGTTGGATCAGATTGGCCTTTGGCCTGAACCTACAGGGATCTTCATATGCCCCTTCTAGATCAGTTTGCTCTTAAAAGCTATGGCCTATTCCACCTCAAGTTTCCGTTGTACTGTGCCAGAAAACTACTAACAGTGTACTCCTATACGTGTCTACTCAGAAGCAAGCCCCATGGGACTAATGCTCAGGTGAGTGTGCATCTATTTCCTTTGATACCCACTTTCTTTACTCTCAAGGAAACCAGGAAAAGCAGGGGCCTCCTTTAGCTGAGATCTTGTACCAGCAGGGTTTTACGGCTCTGCAAAAATGGAAGAAGTGAAGAGGGCCATCAAGGCTCTCTAAGGACGAGAGATGAATGATGGCGACTTATTAAACTTTGATACATCATAAAACAAAAACAAACCCATTGCGCGCGCGCACACACACACACACACACGCACACACACACACGCACACACACACACACTCCCACATGCACATTTTGAAAAGGCAGAGGGTGTGATAAGGCTTCACGTACCCATCGCAGGCTGAAGGATGCTGTGCATACATTTCTAAATAAAAACCAGCTGGGGCTAACATACATACACTCTGTGCATGCTCAGACACACAGCGTCCCGTTACATGCTCCAGAGCAGCCGACGGGTCTCCAGCAGGGGCTGAGGATCCAAATTATGTTGGGGAAGCTCGTGGGGGGGGGGGGCGACAAAGCAGTAAAAGGGGAAGAGAGCAAAAGGACGCCCATAGGAGGGAAAGCGCTGCATGGCCAGGGCCTCGCTGCAGCCCGACGCCCGTTCCCCATCCTCCCGGGCATGACGGGGTCCAGCAGCCGCGGAAGGGGGTCCCCCCGAGGGAACAAGCAGGCGGCCGGCCGGCCGACCCCTCCCCCTACCACCCACCGGGCCTCTCTCCCTCCGCCGCGCTACCTTCCCGAGACGACTCTCCTCCGCTCCGGCGAGAAAGGGCAAGCGCGGCTTCCTTGGCCGCCTGTCACAGCTCAAAAGACCGGCCACGTCACAAGCCCCCCTGGCAAGACGCGCCGGCGCCAGGGCGCCCCATTGGCCTCCCCTGCACGCCGCACCCAATCAAGGCGCGGCGAAGGCGCCTCCCCCGGCAGAGCTCGCTCGCTATTAGCTGCCTGCTTGTCCCCACCTCTGCCCCTCATTGATCCTCTTCGGTGCATTCCTAGCGCCGCTCTCGACCAATCAGAGTTTGCGCGTAGGATTCTTTGGGTGCCTCGCTTCCTCTTTCCTTCTTTCCTCTCCGATACAGATTAATGATCAAGTCTACCTAAAGCATCCGTGATAGATGGCCATCTATCTGCTTAAAAACCTCCAAGGAAGGAGAGTCACATGCTGAGGATATTAATTTTTTTCTATGTCTTTACTTAGACATATTTTAGATAAATAAGGCCCTGTATGTTCAGTTGATTAGACTTATTCCTCCAATAGTAGGTACAGTAGTTATTTTTAGATCCAGATTTTCTTGGGCACCTGCGTTTAAAAGAAGAAGGGAAAAGTTCCACAAATTTGAAAGAAACCATAGAAAAGAAGGAGTCGAAGTGCAAAATCAGTGAACGGAAAAAGCGTTCAACACCCTTCCTGTTTCTCTGAGGCTGCTTTTCTCTAGGAACAATGACAGGGTTTTGCCACACGTTCCTGTTTCTGCACTTCAACTCCAATCTCATCTTTTTTAAAATAAAAAAAGCTGATCCAGAGATACATCCAAAGGGAATGGGTAGCTAAATCCAAGGCTAAAGAAAGATGATATGAATACCAGCTGGTGGGGACAGTTAAGAAACAGAGGTGTGAATAGGAGAATGGGGACAAAACTAGAATTTAGGTGGCTCTGGCTCTACCAACTACAGTGGTACCTCAGGCTAAGAACTTAATTCGTTCTGGAGGTCCGTTCTTAACCTGAAACTGTTCTTAACCTGAGGTACCATTTTAGCTAATGGGGCCTCCTGCTGCTAAATGGGGCCTCCTGCTGCTGCCACCACGCTGCCGCTCGATTTCTGTTCTCATCCTGAAGCAAAGTTCTTAACCCAAGGTACTATTTCTGGGTTAGCGGAGTCTGTAACCTGAAGCGTCTGTAACCTGAGGTACCACTGTATTGGTCTCCCTTGTACCCTCCGAGTACCAATGAAGAGGAACCACCCCTGTTAAGAAATAAGGGCTGCTGCTCTCGTGCCAACTTGCTTCTGTGCTTCCAAGATTCACATGGCTGAACACTGGCAAGCAGTGAGCAGGATGAGAAAGAACTTTGGTCCAGTTAATGAGGGATCTTCTGTACTTAACCTGCCCGCCACTGACCTCGAAAGAGCATCTGATGTGTCTGGAAAGGGAGTGAAGTGTTTTGAGCAGTGTTTCCTTCCACACCACCCTGCTCTGCCACCATTCAATTGGTTAATTAAGAATCGGACAACATGCATTTAAAGGCAAACCTACGAAATTTGCAGTTTTCAAAACAATATGCAAATTGAAAGAGAGCCATCCTTAGAAATTCAAACTTCTTTGACTTTTGCAATGCATTTCTCCAGACAAGTAATATGTACAAACAAATGCATAAACTTGGGTAAAGCACAGCTTGACCCTTTGCAGATCATCACTAACTTTTTTCCAGGCATTACTGGAACACTGTTTTCCTCTCTATATAGAAAGATTATCAACATCTACTACAGTGGTACCTCGCAAGACGAATGCCTCGCAAGACAGAAAACTCACAAAACGAAAGGGTTTTTGGTTTTTTGAGTTGCTTCGCAAGACGGAAACGTCTTGCAAGTTTGTTTCCTTTTTCTTAAAACCATTAATACAGTTGCGACTTGACTTCGAGGAGCAACTCATAGCACGCGGTGTGGTAGCCTTTTTTGAGGTTTTTGAAGACTGGTGATTTTTGAAGCTTTTCCAAACCTTTTCCGACACCGTGCTTCGCAAGACGAAAAAAACCGCAAGACGAAAAAACTCACGGAACGAATTAATTTCGTGTACCGAGGCACCACTGTAATGAATAAATATCAACAATACACATTAATAAAAGTTGTCAGCCTAATATCTTTTCTCTTTAAAAAATACCACACACACACACATATCTAATACACACAAAGTACTTGATCTATTTTACTATCTTACTATTTTATTTTGCAATTGGTCATGTTAGAAACCAGAACAGATATAAGAAAACACTATACCACTTAGCAGTGAGGTGAAGCTGGAAGGGCAAGCCATGGTGATACTTACAAAGCAAATGCCAGTAAAAATAGTACAAATCTTTCTTCTTTTCACTTATAAATCCTCCTCTTCTTGCCATTATTTCCCTCTCTTCATATAATTCATTATATTATTCCTATGTATTTTTAACCTACAATTCATCATACAATCCCAAGGTGGATCTCTTCCATCCTCCATATTTTTTCATTATCTATTTCCATTTCGCTGTTTCCTCTCTTTACCTTTTTTAATCTCTGTGCCTTTTCTTCCATCCTTGACCTTACTTGGCTGCTTGGCACCTGGTTTCTTGGTTTCTGCCAACCTGGCAGTGCTCCATGGCCATGAGGTAACACATGTGAGTTCTGCTGATAAATAAATCACTCCATCTCCAGCCTGACAAAAATACGTCTAAGAACCTTTGTGATGTGTGAGAAATCCTCAGTTCACCTTCCTGTGAGAATATAATAGATTAAGAGACTTTACACTGAGCCAGATGAACAGGACAATCTTAGACATGCCTTTTGATTGAGTTCAATTGGGTGTATTCTCAGGTAAACAGATATGAATTGCAGTGTTAGGGAAGTTAACCTCTTGGTCCTGCCCAGGGCTGTGGAACCATTGGCTCTGCAGCTGTTGTTGAACTCCAATGGGTAGGGATGATGGGAGTTGTGGTCCAGCAACATCTGGAGGAGGCAAAGTTCCCCCAGTCCTGCTTTCTCCCTTTTCAGCAGGGTCAAATCACTCCATTAGGACAAATGAGTTCTCTTTCTTCATCTGTTCCAACTGTAGCAAATGTAAACGGCCATACTCACAGCAGTTGTGTGGGTGTATAATATTTTCTAGCACTGGAAATCAAAAAATTAACTTAGAAAGAACGGGATAAAAGAAAAATGATTATAAAATAGAAAAAAAAAACCTGCTCCAAAGGCAGGAAGAAAAGAGGAGCCTTGCTGGATTTTTGATACTTTTCTTAAAGGCCTATGAATAGGTTAAGTTCTACTACTTAGTTCTACTAAGGTAATTTTACAGAAGGGTAACTGTGTTCCAGCAAAAAAAAACACTGCAAAGAGACTTGTGGCACCTTAAAGTCTAGCACATTTATTATAGCATACACTATTGTGGACTACAATGCACACCTGAGTTGCAGGTACAGTGGTACTTCGAGTTAACTTAATTTGTTCTGAGGTACCACTTTAGCTAATGGGGCCTCCCGCTGCCACCGCACCGCCACCACACAATTTCTTTTCTCATCCTGAAGCAAAGTTCTTAACCCGAGGTACTATTTCTGGGTTAGCGGAGTCTGTAACCTAAAGCGTCTGTAACCCGAGGTACCACTGTACATGGTTAAAGTGGGAGGGGTATTGTAAACAGTGATGTCAGAAGGAAACAAAATACAGAAAAGTAGAGAGGGCGATAATTTTAATTCTTAACAGTGGCCATTCACAAAAAGAACCAGTTGTTGATAAAAATCCATTTTGAGCATACCTCTGAGAAAATATGGAAAAGAGAAAACATGCACAAGATGTCCTACCACCCTTCTGTTGTGCCATAAGAGGTTGAACATTTTTAAACAATTTATAAAAACCTTTTAAAAACTCCACAGAGCACCACAGACAGGGTGAAGAGTTGTGTTGTTCACTGGTGATATCATGGGATGTATCCAATAGGTGCCAGATAAAACTACATTATATATATAGCACAGTGTGCTGGGAAGATGTAATTTTGCCACCCATAAGTGCTACCTTGGGAAAATATTTCTGAATCCAGCCATTCACCTGGGAACAACTTCACAGTTGTGTTTAAGACATCCCATTCAAATTATTGGGAGTTATTTCCATGTACCGTAATTATGGGCACCCCAATAACTCTTGGTCGCTTCTGTTCTTTGACTCTTCAGCCCTCTTGGCAACATGCAACCATGTATTAGAAAACTGTCTTTAAAAAAAAGAAAAGAAATTGTGCATGTTTTGTATGAAAGCAGTTAATCAGCTGTTGCAAAATCTCTCAACAGCCAGATCCAGTCTGACATCAATGGGAAGTTGCTTCTGTAATTCAAACTGAGGGATTGGACTTGTGGTGTTATCTAAACTCTGACCTTTAGCCTGTTGTTATATAGCTAAGTATCTTATCTTATCTGCTAAAACAAACAGAAAGCAGCATATCATCATCCAAGCTGGAACTGCTCCAACCGAATAGAGCAATGAATGATATGCAATATCTTGGATACTAAGTTATCATTCAGTCTTTCACCATCCTTGAAATCATGTGCTTAGGGTATGCACACTGCACCCACTTTTTTAAAAAATGGGGGGGGGGGGAGATTTGAAGGAGTACAAAGTAAGAAAGCACAAAGAAGGACCAGTGTGTGTAAGCTAGAAGCTGGAAGCAAGGCTGCAGGCTGGGTGACAGAGTTATGTCTGATTTCTGTTTCAATCCAGGGCTGTGGCTACGGGAGGAGCAAGACCCTCTTGGGGTATTAATGCTAGGAACCCCTCCATTGTAGGTTCAAGTTGTATACTGTATGTGTAAATAAACCATATATCATAAAGACACCACAGTCTCTGCTGTCCTTCATTCCAAAGGAAACATGAACCCTGGGTTAGTGCCTGGAATCCCTGGTCTTCCACACCGTTTGGAGACTGGGTGGTGTGCAACAATATTATTCTGGATACACCTGCTAGTAGCTGCAGATGTGTTCTTCTGCTTTTCCCACTTACTCATCTCATTAAGTGAGGCATGATTAGGAGTAAGAAAAATCTAGGTTTAAATTGAAATCAGTTTAAGAAATTAAATTAAATTGAAATTAATGTAAAGAAATTGTCAAATCGGATTATCCAAACATTAAAGCAATTAAATTCCATTTAAAGAAATTGCATTTAATTTATCTAAATGTAAATCAAATTACATGTTAATAAATTACATAGAAAAAGAATTGAATTTAAATTAAAACAAAATCAATGACATAGAAACTTAGGAA